CATGGATACATTCTCATGAAGAATTCAAAAATACCAAGTAAAATTCTCTCTTGATTTCTTCCCCCTTGGTAACAGTGCTATCGATTTGCCATGTTCCCTTCTGAATTTTTTTAATCATTTACATATTTTGAAGTTAGCCTTTCTCATAAACACAATATGAATTGTTTATCTGTGTATGTGTGTGTGTGTTCATTCTGCACAGTGTTTCATAGTATGGATGTACCAGTACTCATGAAGCATCCTTCTCTTAAGCGATGGACATTCAGGTTGTGCTCTGATCATCGTTTATGTCTACTCTGGTGAACAGGTACCATTTCCCTTAAATAAGGCCCTCCTGCCCTGTCCTCCTGTCCATTGTTGGTTCACAGGCATTTCTCACAGCTTGCCCTCAGGCACTGCTTTTCAAGTTGTGGCCCAAAAGCATAGGATCAAGTAAGGAAATCTGCATCTAGATCTGGCTGTCCATTGATTTGCTCTGTGATCTTGGACCTTTTTCTCCTGTTACATGAAAACAAAGATTAGGTGGGCTGACTTTTAGGTTCCTTATAGCACCAACAGCCTCTATTCCAGTTAGGCTTGTGGGGTAATGCCATTCATTTTTATTACCTTCAGCTTGTGGCAGGTGCCCTTGGGATCCTGTACAATAAGTCATGAAGGACACTGCTAGTGAAGAAAGGGTGATGCACATTACCCTCATCACCCTCTGCATTGCTCCCTTGCTGATGCTCGAGTGCCATTCCCAGTGAGCTAACAGCAGTGTGAGTAATAGCAGCAGTAAGAACAGCTTTTCCCTTGTGGATGATTCTTGACAGCCTTCATAAACCTGTTGTCCTGCTCATTTTTAGGTATTGTTCGTGTCTCATGAAGCTACACACCTGGTCTCCCCATATGCTCATGGTTGGGGCCACTGTATTCTCACCATTCTGCTTGTCACATTCAATGTGTATGCTCACCAAACTCATATGTGCCAGCTGGACTTGTTTTTGTAATTATGTCATTTATTAAAATTAAAAAATAATTTATTTAAGGGGTTAGCATCCAAAATATATAAAGAACTCATACAACTAACACACAGAGAAGAAAATAACCCAGTTACAAAATGGGAAGATGACCAGAGCATTTTTCCAAAGAAGACATGCAGATGGCCAACTGGCATATGAAAAGATGCTCCACATTGCTCATCATCAGGGGAATGCAAATCAAAACCACAGTGAGATATCATCTCACACCAGTTAGAATGGCCACTATCCAAAAGACAAGAAATAACAAATGTTGGCAAGGATGTAGGGATATGGGAACCCTACTACATTGTTGGTAGGAATGTAAATTGGTGCAGCCACTGTGGAAAGCAGTATGGAGGTTCCTCAAAAAAACTAAAAATAGAAATAGAAATACCATAGAATCCAGTACTTTCCACTTCTAGGAATTTACCTGAAGAAAACAAAATCCCTGATTTGAAAAGATATCTGCACCCCTATGCTGCATCATTTACAATAGCCAAGATATTGAAGCAACCAAAGTGTCTATCAATAGATAAATGGATAAAGGAGAAATATCCATATACACAATGGAATATTATTTAGCCATTAAAAAAGAAAGCTATCCTACCATTTACAACAACATGGATGGACCTAGAGGATACAATGCTCAGTGAAATAAGCCAGGCAGAGAAAGACAAATACCATATGATTTCACTTACATGTGGAATCTAAAATCAAAGCAAAACAAAATGCACAAAACAGTAATAGATTCATAGATACTGAGAAATGACTGATGGTTACCATAGGGGAGGGGTTGGGGTGGCAGGATAAGGAGGGTGAGGTGGATAAAAGGCACAAAAATTCTCAGTCCTAATATAAGTTGGTCATGGAGATGATGGTATAGCATGGAGGATACAGCCAATGATATTGTAACATCTTCCTGTGTTGACAGATAGTAAGTGCACTTGAAGGGGTGAGGAGTTGATAATTTGGATAACTGTTGAATTGCTGTGTTGTATACTTAAGACCATTATGATGTATGTCAACTATACTGCAGTAAGAAAAAGAAAAAATTCATTTATATATAGGTTCTAAAAGAGAGTTGTTTTGTAAAGTGTATATATATATATATATATGTTGTAGGCTTTGGAAAGACCAGATAAGGGTAAATGGCAATGAAACAAATTGATATTGAATTAGGCATGAGAGAAACAATTGTAAAATATTTTGGAGAAAGTCATCAAAATTTAGATGTGCATTGTGGTCCATATACTCAGGATACTTGCAGGTACCCTAAGTCCTCCAAAATTGGAAATATAGACACTGCAGGATGGCCCAGCTTATGTAACAAAAGACTGGCAGCAGAGTGTACATTTATGTTTAAGTTACAGTTAGATATTTAAGGAATGTGGATGGCACTTTTTAAAGAATTTTTCACTTAAGGTCTCTAATTTAACAGTCAAACTAATGATCCCTGCAGCACTGACTACAAGGGCCTCTTATAGGATCTATAGCACAAACACTTACAAAATGTAGTAAAATGGTAAAGGAGCTTAGGATGGATGGATGGGAACACTTTGAAGTTAGAAAGTGTGTGTGTAACAGTGAAAGAGAAACAAGATAAAGCTGTGTTTACTGTGTTGATATTTATGTCCCCATATTCTTGCTGCCCTTTGACTACTGACTTAAAAGCTGCTGAGTCTAAGAAAAGTAATAAATGCTCATTAATTAATCCAACAAACATTGGTCTGACATCCACAATGGGCTACATTTTATTAGATTATGGGGCTCTAAACACAAATAAGGTATCGTCCCTCTTTAGCCTTTAATGTCTTTTTCTGGTTTTTAAAAATGAATTCTCTTTATACTTATTAAAAAGAATGCATTTCTTGATATTCTTTGGTATTGCTGACTATTTGGTCTCATACTCATTCTTAAAGCAGCGAGTTCTCTTACTGGAAACTCTGATTTTAAATTCCACATCTCCCAGGGGAAAGGATACTGCATTTCTTACATGACATATTAATACTCTATCCCTGTGTTTCTTTTTTCTCTTGGTTTTACAGACAGACGCACAGGATGTAGAACAGCAAATTACACTTCAAGAATCTTGAGTTCTCATTACAGCTCTGTTACTGAGACCCTAAATGACCAAAGGAGCCCATCTCTGAATGTGGGCTTGGTAGAGTTAGAATGACATATTCTCTAATCTTCCTTCCAGTGCTTCACCTTGCAGTCTCTGAGGTTGTTCCACTATCTTTGATTTTAATATTTTTAATGGGCCTAAGGTCCCAAATGAGGGCATGTATATGAAGCATGAAATTTACAACATGTGCATCTTCATATGAACAGATTACAAAGTGATTCTAGAATATAAGCTCCATGAAGTCTAGTATCCTGTCTGTCTCATTCACAGCTACAGGAGTTAGACAAATGTTTTTTAAGAATGAATACATATATCTTAGTAAGAAATATAAATGGAGAGTGAAAATAAGAAACTAGACCTCAAATTTTAAAGTAGGCTTTTAACTGTTGGGGAACACTAGTTTGAGAAGCATGAGAAGGCAGATTTTTGCATTTCTTTTTGCTGTTTCCTCAAAGTATGGGACAGCTGGGAGGAAGATTTTAGGTTAGGAGAAAGTACACAGCTAGGAAATTCATTCATTTATTTATAAAATATTCAAGCATCCTCTCTGTATTGTATAGTGGTTATCAAATTTTTTGGTCTCATGACCCCTTTAAACTTTCCAAAGTTATTACGGATCCCAGAGAGCTTTTGTTTATATGGGTTATATCTGATATGTACCCTATCAGAACTGAAACTGATAAATTCTAAATATTAATTTGTTAACTCATTAGAAAATAATAATAAGCACTTTGTGTTAAAATAAATCACATTTTTTATGAACAGTAACTGTATTTCTGTTTAGTGAGACGTGTTGCATTGTTTGGCATTTTTGTGAATCTCTGATGTGGCTTCACAGAGGCAGCAGGCTCTTGTCTGCCTCTGCAGTCTATTGCATTATGCAGTTTGTCTGAAAAATATGAAATTATGAGGAGACAGGTAGTTGGGACAGACAGGGCCTCATAGGCACCATGAAGGGTCTCAGGATCTCCTAGTGGCCTTCAGACCACACTCTGAGAACTGCTGTACTTGGGATAGTGAGATGTGAGCAGTAGATTTTGTTTCCTCACCAGTATTTATTAAGTGCTTACCATGTGCTAGGAAATATGAAAAATTTATCTGGTAGGAATAAAGAGTCCTGAGTTCGAGACTGAGTTGGAGTTTGGAGTTTCTTGAGGTGTTCCCACTGTGTCCAGGGCAGCTTGAAGGTGAGCTGACTGCAGTGTGGGCTGGCCAGGTTAGAGTGGATCGTGCAGGTGGTACCAGGTGCTGAAAGGTGGGGAGCAGCTCCTCCATCTTGTGGAGGGCGCGGAACAGTTGGAGATGGAATTGATGTCCTATTTTTAAAAGGTGTTGTGCGATCCTGGATGAGTAAGGAAGCAGCTGACATCGGAGACAGGGATGTGGCTTCTGCTTGTAAGAGCGATAACTGAGTTGATAGCTCCAGGCTTGGAGAACGTTGCCCTGTATGCCTCGCATACCACACCCCCCCTCCCCCGCCACGCTGCTACGCTGCTGTATACCTTGAGTCCCCATATGCCTTCATCCCTGTACGCCTCGGGACCCCATATTCCTCGGGACCACATATACCTCAGGACCCCGTATGCCTTGCGTCCCCGTATGCCTCGGGACCCCGTGTGCCTCGGGTCCCCATACGCCTCAGGTCCCGTAGGAGCAGTGATAGAGTCCGGAAGTGCTACCTCCTGACCAGCCATGCAGCACTCACCTGCCTGGTGTCCAAGATGCTTAAAATCTCCCAAACACATGGTCTCCTTTAACCCTTCCAAAAATCTTCCATAAGGAGAGATAACAAGTACAAGGTTAGGTATATATGAAAAGCTTTGCTTATGTTACACTGCCTTGTTTTTAACTGTTTTTCCTTTGCTTTTTTTCAGACCTTCCAGATCTTTCAAGTTACCAAAAAGGTAATCTGGATCACCTTATTAAATACTAGTTACTTGCATGCTTTCCCCATCTAGTATTTTCTCCATGTCTTGCTGCTGTTTGCACAATCCTCATTCACACTTTATGAAGGAAAAAGAAATTTCCCCTGAGTTGGCTCCTGGAGCAATCCTGTATATCCAGAAGTGGTTTTGAGCTCAAAGTAGTTTTTAAACCTTAAATTCTGTTTGTATTTAATCATTCATATTTGCCTAATTATTTTTCATTCCCTCCTGTAATGGACTGGTTCTCGGTGTCTTATTGAGGAGAGAGACACCATCCTGCCACCTGCCATGACTGGATTCATGGCACTATTTCAGATGAGTTGTCTGTGTTTCTTCCTACAACTTTTGTTACCATACTAAGACAAAGGTGTTATTTTATGTGGAAATTTAAATATTTTATCTTTTCAATAGAAGAGCAATACTTTAAGTTATGTTTCTGAAATAAAAGCATTGCCTCATCATTGATGTCCTTATACATTGTGATTCCAGGTATAATATTGCTGCAACTTAGGAAATACTAATGATCTTTGAAATTCAGTTGCTGAAGGAGCTCAGACGCTGTTGAGGCTGCATCAGGGGAGTTCTCCTCTCTTTGGAGTAAAACCACTACATTGAATGAGTAAATTCCATTTAGAAGACTATTTGTTTTTTTAAATTAGGGTAAAATATACATAGCATAAAATTTATCATTTTAGCCATTTTCAAGGATGTAGTTCTGTGCCATGAAGCACATTCACATCATTACGCAGCCTCCTGCAGCATCTATCTCCAGAACTCTTACATCTTGCAAAACTGAAAGTCTGTACCGTAACTACTTCCCATCTCCCTACTCTGCAGCCCTTGGCACCCACCCCCCTCCACTTCCTGTCTCTATGAATCTGACTTCTTTAGGGGCCTCACAGGAGTGGAATGATGGAGTGTTTGTCCTTCTGTGGCCAGTATCACTCAGCCTAATGTCCTCAAGGCCCACCCATGTGATAGCAGGTGTCAGAATTTCCTTCCTTTTACACCCTGAATGATAGTCCATCAATGGATATACTACATTTTGTTTATCCATTTAAAAAGTTATGAAAAAAAAATATGGGGAAAGATAAAGGGAAGAGATTATACAAATAAATATGGCATATTAAGAAAATTAGCTTCCATTTTTCTAGAAATAACGGAGCCCCATCAAATGACTAAAACTTTTGCATTTTGGTAAGATTCATACATATTTTTTTCTGTTATGAAATTATTTTATTTTTAAAAGTAGTTTTTTTTTCAGTATATATACATATACATACAACTTCTTCAAAAAAGCATCTCCTGATTCCCATTGCTTACCCTCACTGGAAGTAATCTCTTTGTTGAATTCACAAAACACTTTATCTGTATCTCTCTAATGACACATATCTTTCCGTCTAGTTTTGTGGTTATTTGTAAAGCTGTCTGACTTCCTATATTAGGCCCTAAGTTCCTGAGGGCTGGATCCATATCTGCCATTTCTTTATTCCTGGAATGCCCATGTACTTACTATATAATGCTAATTGCTGAATGAATTCGTTACTTCACAAGAATGAGTTTGGGATTCTGTTTTACTTTGTGAAATTTCTCAAGCTTCAACCCTTTCTTCCACTAAACTGATAGCTGATGCCACCAGAAAAATTACGATTAATAACATTTTGAAATGCTTCCCCTTAAAGAAGAAGGGGAATAAGGAAGAGCCACTAAGGAAAATGGAGAAGAAGAGATGAGGAGAAAGACATTTTTAGGAAGGGGTAACTGAGGTGTTAACTACTGCCCAGGTCAAGGCAGGTGAAACCCAAGGTGAGCTGGTTGATGGACAGTTTCAGGAGTCAGGAGAGCGAAGGTGGGCAGGGAGGGTTGACGCTGGGGCATTTGGTCAGGACAAGGGGGCCTCAGGTACTGGTAGTCACAGCCTCTGAGTCTGCCCTCTGCTCAGAAGGGAAGGGGAGAGAAATGGGAATGCTTCCAGAAAGACAGCCATGGGCAAGGGGGAGAAGTCCGTGTAAGCTGAGAGAGGAGAGTACTGCACAGGGCTTTATTGTAACACAAACAAGCCCCATGTAATTGCACTTGAGTGTAAGTTAGCCCTGTAAGACACTTAGGTTATTTGTTTTAACAGTTATTTCTGATCTTTTTCCAGAGTAAACCCAGTAATAAGGTGGCTGAGAATCTATGAATATATTTGAGGGACTTCCCATTGGAACTCCAGCATGGCAGTAACCACCTGGGCCAGATGCCAGGCAACTGACCCACCCACTCGGACCCATAGTTCACCCACAAGCACGTTTCATTTGCTCTGCTCCCTTGCAGGAGGGCGAGACAGCCTACTGCGAGGATGCTGTGAACTCTCAGACAGCCGCGCTGGATGGCGCCGCTGGCCCTAACACGGGTGCTGGTGCAGGGGTAGGACCCCTGCTTGCTCACTGGGAACGGCTGTCTGCTTTACCCCAGGTGTTGCAGAGGCAGACTGCACCTACAGTTACGCTGTGTGTTATCTAAAGATTCCCAAATTGAAACAGGAGGGTGAAAGACAAGTACTATATGATGCAGGAGAGCAATTACAGTGAAAGGAGTTGCCCTGTGACAGGGCTTTAATGCACATGTGGCTCACTTTCCCAAGAAAATACTGTGTTAGTACTTTATTCCTTAGCTTAGTCAGATACGCACCTTGAACCTAGACTCACCAGCAGCAGACTCGATGAAAACGCATGGCTTTGTAATTTCCTGAACTCCAATTTTCCTTTCTTAGGTTTTCATCTTAATATCACAACTATTGTCTGTGTTTCACATTGTACATGAAGTGCTTGTTTCCATGCAGTACCCATTGCTGTGCTCATCTTAATGCAGACAGCAGGAAGAGCAGAAGTACCCTCTGCAGTGTCATGGGACACGGGAAACACTTGTCCATGTGAAATCTGCCCTGAATAGATGAAGCTTTACCCGATGGCACCTTATGCCCTCAAAATGGTGACTCCATTTCTTAAGTGTGAACGGTGTCACTCAGAGAGGTTAGCATGTGGACCATCTGCTGTGTGAGGAAGTAGAATTGTAATATGATAAGGTTAAATGGGCTAAGCCCACCGATGCTATAAAGTTTCCGTATGTAGGCAGTGCACATACATGGTGTACAGAAGTGTTGTAAAATCAAAACCAAATGTTTTCAAAGGGAAGAAAAGCAATTACTGAGCCAGATATTTAAGGTTGCTGTGCATGTATGTGCAGATTTTTCAAGAACACAAAACAAAAAGTCATTATATGAGTAGATTAAACCACAGTATGAAAAGTTAGTAATTTGGGGTCCACTGCCCTCTACCGATAACATGTTTCTAGGTAAAAATGCGCAATTTCTGGTTCATCTGAAAGAAAATGGATGCATTTAAAATAAAGTATAATGAGCAATTGTAGAAGCCTGGGGCCATTTTCAAGGGCTGACTTTTTAAATGTCTAAAATGTAAAAGACTCTTTTTAGGTCTGAAGCAACGAACAGAAAGTTTCAAATGTGCTACTGACAAAGGACTTTTTGTTTCAAAACTAGTTACTTTCATCTTAGTTTGCATTTGGTGGAGGAGGGAATAAAGTATAGAAAATACAAGCATTGGGTGTGTTCTAGAAATGCAAAGGCTTCCGACCACTTGGTGCTTATGTTTGAACAACTACAACCAGCATGTTGTGATTTATGTGTTTTCATTCCATTCAGAATTATTCTTTCAAAAGGTTATTCCATTTTATCTAGCATACTTTTTCCTTAATGATTTTTTAAATCCAGAATTTGCCATCTAGTGAATAATATTTACATCTGAAGGTCTACAGATCTAGGTGGTTCTGTAAAGAGAAATTAACTATTAGTATGGCTTAGCAATTTAATTTCAAAATGTGAGTCTTGGGAAGCATACATTTGTGGCAAGTTAATTTACTTCTGGTGTCCTATTTCTCTTGTGTTTGAAGCAAAAGATGATGTCACAGTGGGTAAGAAGCCAGACTCCAGACCCAGACTACCTAGGTTCCTGCCTTTTTTACTTCTTTTTTTTTAGGTTTAATTGATGTACATTTTATTAGTTTCATGATTTGATATTTGTATACATTGTGAAATGATCACCACAGTAAGTCTAGAGAACATCCATCAACACACAATTACAGAATCTTTTTCCTTGTGATGAGAACTTTTAAGACTTGCTTAATTAGCAACTTTCAAATAAGCAATACAATATCATTAGCTATAGTCACCGTGCTGTACATTGCATCCTAGGACTTATGTATCTTGTAGCTGGCCTAGCTCTGTGACTTTGAACAAGTTGTTTAACCTGTGTGTGCCTCAGTTGTATCTCATAAAGTTGTGGTGAGAATTGAGTATGTGTGAAGCACGAGAGCAAACTGATACTCTTAGTCAATGCAAGCTACTATTCTTTATTTTCTTAAGAGTAACTCCTAACAACAATGAAGAATGCTTGTGCTGGTGTGCCTTAAAGTGTGATTATATTTTAATTTCCTCATTAAAACTTAATTTGAAGTAAGTATCCCCACAAAGCCAAACCTGTAAAGCAGAGAGATCAGCAATCTATTCTTAGACACATATAGTATCTTTTTCCAGAATGACATCTAGAGCTTTATTTAAACTGCCAGCATGATTTTGAAGAAGTCGTCTCAAATATATGAGAATCACATGAACCAGAAACAGCCACCACAGCAGCCAAGTGAGCCAGTGTCACTGAGAGTGAGAGCACTTGACCACAAGTTAAATGTCTTTTTTTTCTCTAATAAAAAATTCAAGAAACCTGAAGTTGGCAGAACACATTTTTTATTTTAGAAAAGTTCAGTCTCATCAGCCTGTGCTGAGCTCTGAGTTGGTGTGCAGACCTTCAGTGTGTGTGGGTGGTGAGGCACGTCCCCAGCATTGGGAGTGACACGGAAACCAGCTTCTGCCTAGAGCTGGCAAGTGAGGCGATGAAGGCTGGGCAGATTTGGTTCCAGAGGAGTCTCTGAGGCTGCCATGGAGGACAGCAGGGCAGCGGAGGCCCGGTCTGATCAATAGCTGTTGAACACCTTTTGAAAGGTGCTGTTCTCCATGCTGATACTGCACAAAATAAATAAAAAACCAAAAGCTGCCTCTGTCCCCAGGGAACTCACAGTGTAATGTTCATCACAGTTTTAGCTGGGGGAGGGAGTTAAAGGTTCATGGCATGCTTTTGGTTTGCTTTGGTTATTTTTAAGATTTGCACTACATGAACCTGTTCCTGGAATGAGTTGTTTTTCAACAACTGATAGAGCAGAAGTATGGAGAAGGCAGGTAACTGGAGAGGCAAAAGTTCTGGAAGAAACTGCAAGGAGGATGGATCCTCTGTTAAAATGTATTTCTTTCTAGGTAGGAAGTGTTGAGCTTAGATCTTCTCTTTCCCAGGCACAGATGTAGACATAAAATGTCATCTGTCAGAAATGGACCTTATTCTGACTTGCAACAGCCTGTGGCTTATGACCACTGCTAGTTCATCACAAAAATGAAGGCATTGATCATTGTACAAAGGTACTGTAATTACATATAAATATTTACCACCTCATTAGATCTTTTATTGATAAATACCTGTACTAGGTCTGAAATACGAAGATTTAACAAGTTGCTGTCTTATGTGGCAAAAATCTCTCCTTTGCTAACTCTCCCTGTCTGACTTCCCCACTAGCTACGCAGCCCTGATAGCCGACTGGCCCGTGGTGGTCTTGGGCTTGTGCACTGTGCTCATTGTGGTCTGCGCCCTGGTGGCAGTGTTAGTGCCAGAGCTTCCGGACTTCTCTGACCCATTGCTGGTAAGGAGAATGAGCTGTTGAGTCTGTTGACTGATTTTCTTTAGCCCAAGGTCATCTTAAAAAATTAACTACTTTAATATATGTCACATTGTTATTTAGTATCCCATTTCTTTTAAAACCTTCTCAAGTACACAGCTTGCTTTCCTAAAAATAAAGACATGTCTTAATTGTATTCTCAGGTGTTAAAAAGTCAAGAAACTTGCTCACCATCAAAATTTTTGTTTCTTGGCCCCTAATTTTAAGCTAAAAAGCAGTAAATTAGAGAATGTGCATATTTTAAAAATATTTTCATGAAGTCTTTAAGACTAAGTGTCTCTTCTTTCCCCCCAAAGAAGTTAAAGGAATTTCAGTATTACTAAAATAGTCTGTTTTTAGGTAAATATTCCCCTAGAGTGGAATAACCAGGAAAATATGAGCCAGGACAATAATATGCTTATTGTGAAATACTATAACATGAATAACACAATTTAATTTGACCGGAATTTTTTATAACTAAAAATAAGTATTTACTAAATGCTCAGATAGGAATTTGAAAGAGAAGGTTCAGGTAAGTTTTTTTCCTCTTTTCTGAGCTGTGTAACATACCAAAGAAACAAACTGTTTTGTCACAGTAAATGGTGATCATTATCATGTCAAGTCCTCTTGTTTTAATGCAGTTCAGCTCTGGAGTAGCTGTAAGGAACATCTGTATTCTCTATTGAAAGCTATACATCACCTTGACACTGTTTCCCAAGCTGTTGTAATTCTACTTAGCCTGAAATGAAGCCCACTAATGGGAATTTAATATTTTGCCTTAGGGTTTTGAACCAAGAGGGACTGCAATAGGCCAGAGACTGGTCACATGGAATAACATGGTGAAAAACACAGGATACAAAGCAACATTGGCAAATTATCCCTTTAAATATGCAGATGAGCAAGCCAAAAGGTAATTGTTTACTAACTTTCAGATAAATCATTGCTTAATGAATTCCACTTTTAAACATTGACTGAGCAAAAAGATTAAATATATGGTTCAAAACCTTTGCCACTGAATTGGTTTAAGTTGCCATCATCTTTTAAGATTTTGTGTATTAGGATGAAAAAGTGAGAAAATTAATGTTGGTTGCTTATATTAATCCTCTCAACTTGATATCAAGCATGAAACATGTCGTGACTTTGAGGATTACTATACTGTGATGCTGATCAGTCTTGGAATAGCTATTACTTTTTTGAAGATCAAATATGTTGTTCCGTTTCAGCCATCGAGATGATCAATGGTTGGATGATCATTATGAAAGAGAGAAAAGAGAAGTTGACTGGAACTTCCACAAAGACAGCTTTTTCTGCGACGTCCCAAGTGAGTGGTCATATATGAGTGGACCCCCTCGAATCCAAGCCTGGAATTATAATCTAAGCAGGAATATGCAGCTAGTCAGCTTCACTGTTGCTGTCATATTTAAAGAGATTGTAGGTTAATTAATGTGTAATTTTACTTCTCTACATCAGTCAGCCACTAATCGGAATTTCTGTACCGATAATAAAAGCTAATAAAATAGATGATTGAGTTATATTCAGTTTTAAGGAAGATATAAATCTAATAAAGTCCTTGACTTTGCCCAGAGTTTCAAGTCATTTTTTAAACTCCCTGTACTACTTAAAAAATATTCTACATCAAGGAACAAGTACATATTTTGGATTGAACCCTGAAATAATCTACTGTATTACCAAAAATAAGTATTTTTAATTTTGACACATTCATAAGGCACATATTAATAGCCTTCTTCATGCCTGACTTGTCATTAAGGCTAGAGATAGATGAACCAAATGCGGTCCAGAGGTCCTAAGCATGAATGGCCCAGGACCACATGAATCAGTGACGCTAGGGAGTGGAAGGCATGGAAGACTGAAGAACACCTACCCTGGGAACAAAATTAGCTGCTACATGGCTTTAGCAGGGTGTGGCCTGGAAGAAATGATGCCCAGATAATGTAAGAACTTCCCTGAGATCAGAAATCCAGGATGTAATGTGGAATCACCAGGTCTCTGAATGTTGGCAGCAGATGCACTGCACAAAGTCTGCTCCAGCCACATCGCCCTAGTGCCCATCTGCTAGGGAAGGGGCGTGGGCTGTAGGAAGCCCACAGGGTGTAGTAAGCCATGGTCAGCCCTCCTGATGAGGAGTGAAGATGAGGAGGAGTGACAGTGTCTGATCTACTGAGTACTAACTCTCAAGCTCTTTCTTCAGCTTTTTTTGTTGTTCATTGAAGTCCCTCTGGAATGTGTATTTTCCTGTCTTCTTAGGTCACTAGAAGACCTGATTGGATCTTGATGTTTCTAGATCTTGCCAAGCATCAGGGTCTTTATTTTGAACACTGTTTCACTATATAGCAATTGAGAAATAGTAGGACATTAGGAAGAATCTTACACTGATCTCAGGAAGCATGGGGAACCTCTTTCTGTCACTCCACTTTTAGAAAAGTTGAACTCCGGTGAGTTGCATGTTCTGGCTAGTTTATTTCTCTCAAAGTATTACTACCCATTGCTTAGTTAACATCTGTTAGTTAATAAATTAACCAGAAAGAACTTCAGCAAATTCATAAAATAGTGTCTTGCTTGTATTTCAGTAGTCAGCCCTAAATATTTGTCTGATAGGTCCCACACTGAGTACAGCTACGACTGGCTATAAGAGAATGGAATGTTTCAAGAATCAACTGACATAAAACAATAGCCATCTGATGAAGATGAGTTTTACTAAAGAAAAGTACATGAATAAAGTTCATGTAATAAAGCTTTATTCATGCATTTGCAAGCTGGTACTCTTAGCACAATTAGGCTTTTTAATTTTTTTTTTGCAAACCAATCTACATGGCTTTGCTTGGTTCATATTGTTTCTTTTAATGACTGAGGAAACAGGAATGGTGCTTCCTGAGCACCTAATTCTCATTCTCTCATTTAACTCTCATGACTCTTTGAGAAGGGTGTTGCTGTCTCCATTTTACAGACGTGGAACCAAGGCTCAGAGAAGTTGTCAGTTGCCTAAGATCACCCCACTAGGAAGTGACAGGACCTGGTCACACCAGTTCTAACTCTGCAGACCGAGCTCTTTCCAGTGTGTCATACTACGGCCCTTATTCAGAAATACATTTTGTATTAGTATGGTTTTCAAAATATTTTTTCTGGACTCTGGTGTACCAGAGAGATCATGTGCCAGACTGACTGTGATGCTGCCCAGCATTCCACACTCAGCTGACTGTTTTTAGTGCTTTTAAATCGATCACCTGCCTCTTCCCTCTTGAATTAACTGACAAAGTGAACATGCTCATAATCTAGCCGTGATAGCCCCAGGGCAGCATCCTTTGATTGCAAATGCAGTTATGGGGATGCACTGTGAAATGAAGGGGCAGCATTCAGTTAATTTCCCACTGTGAGTCCTTATGGATTGTTCTCCCTAAGTATAGTCTGCTCAGAAAGGTCTGTCACCAAACTCCTATGGTTTTTAAGATACAGTGAGTAGACAGAAGCTCAGAGCTGAGACAATATTGCAACCTGCCTTTTTTTTTTTTTTTACATGTTTTCTCCTGAGATTTATCAAAGGGAAGGAATCGTCCTTGTGGTTTTCCAATTTGAATTATTTCTGAATGCTGAGTCTTATGAAATATAAATAATGTATAAACCTTTTTCTTTTCTTTTTTCATATTACCAGGTGACCGATATTCCAGGATAGTGTTCACTTCAGCTGGAGGGGAGACATTATGGAATTTGCCTGCCATTAAATCAATGTGCAATGTAGATAATTTAAGGGTAGGTAAAGTAAAACTGAACTGTGTTTTGCATAAAGGTTATATTTTTGAAGCTCCTTTCGCTCTGACACCCTGGTGTCTGATCAGATGAAGGCCTTGCGAGGCTTCCCCCGAGGCAGGAGCAGCAGACCAGCTCTGCATTCTTGTAGGTCCCAGATCCAAGTGTCTCTGTTTTCTGACCTTTAAAACATACTATCTTCCTTAATAAAGAACTCTTTTTCTCTCCTGCTCATGTTCTCTGTCCATGATAGTCTTTTGTATTGTTTCACAGCATTTTTTCTTTCAGGATAATACTTGAGACTCTTTCTTTTCTTATGTTGTATCTTCTCTCCTAATCTAGTTTCACTGTTCACTACATCTCCCCCTGAGGCATTGTCAGCATCTTAATTATGGAGTGAAATGCCTGCCTCTCTGGCAGTCAGTGGGTCATTTGGGCTGGTGACCTCAAAGGAAATTTAGGGCACAGGCTGGGGAAGGGGACATCAAAGGGCACAAACAAGTGTCCGTGTAACCAGCCGATTGTCTGCACCGGGTCTCCCAGAGGCATGAAGACAAGACCTCCTCAGCATGCAGAGCTGTGATGATGTCAGCACCAGGAATGTGAGGTCAGCAGCTAGGCCGAGGAGCTGTCGGTTTCTTGTGTTCAGAGGCGCTTTATCCCAGTGGGAACCACTGTCCAATGCCACTGAGGTACCCATGCAAGGCAGTAACCAGGCACAAGGGGCTCGGTGCCATCTCAGCGTGACTCTAAAACGTAAATGACTGGCTAGTTGGAGTCTGCTCTCTGCCCTGCTAAAGTTGGCCCAGCAAGTCAGTGCAGTCACCGGGAATCAATGAGTTCCTTCAACTGGGTGGTTTGGTGGAACAGGTAGAAGGGACTCTCCGAAGGCACCCAGCCCCGCCAGTCTCGCCATGCTGATGTATGCAGCTGGCAAGAACTAAGTGGCTCACCCAGGTCACCTAGTTGATGGATCCCAGATTTCCTGATTTTATTCTTCATTCTGAGAGGCTGTTTATACATTTTGAAAATAGCTTCCCATTCACTGAGCTTCCAGGATGTTCTGCGAGCTCCATCTTTCTTCTGTCCACTCCAAATAGACCAAAGTCACAAACTGTCTACAAACTGTCCAGGGCTTCTAACAGTGGTTGGTTTTTGTCTGCCCTATTTTCTTCTCTTAAACAGCTCTCAGCTCATTATTTGGAGCCATGAACATACTTCTCCTTGTCCTGTGTTAAGCCCATCTCGGATAGAAATTTACCAATGAGCAAATGTGTACAGAGCTTGCTGCGGGCAAGCCCCATGCCTGGTATTTTAGATCCACACAGCCGACCTGGGGCCTTGCAATTTGTAACACCTTTAATAGGGAGAAGGTACTTTAGAGAAGGTAACCAGTCTGGCTACTTTGTACTCACACTTTTGATGAGAACAGGTGGTTAGCTTGTGTGCCTTTCCATAGTCATTTTCCTGCCTTTGCAGGTGATTTTTAGACCTTCCCTCCCCCGAAGACTTGGAAGCAATTAACTAATAGCTGGTGTTGATATTTGTCAGGAAGTGTTGTAAATACTCTCATGGATTATTTCATTTAGTCCTCATGGCAGCATTATGAATTAAAATATTATTTTGCCAATTTTATAGGTGAGGAAAGTGTACACTGGTTAAGTGACAGATGCAGGATTTGAACCCGGCCAAGTCTAACTCCAGAGCCTGCGTCTTTACCTACTGTACTTTATGCTTCCACAGCGAAGAAGATAAATAACCCATTTCGTTTCATCTTGTTTTATTATACTTGCCACTCTCCCTCAAGTGAACCTCAGAGGCCTAGAGTGGTAAGAGTGGTATATTTTTTAAGAGCTAGCGATTTATCCCGTGAGTACCTCTAGACCCCCAAGCCGGTAAGCAGGGCTGGCTGCCATAATTTCCACAAGAGGAAGCTGTATATTGTTTCATGTAGGTACCAGGTGATAAAAATCAGCAACTACAGGCTGCTTACAGAAAGGATACGATGAGTAAGTTGAATCACATGAAGGGAACACTATGGGAGGAAAATAAGGAAGCTGAGGATGAGATTTCACACAGCAATGCGTACCCCACAGTCCTGGATGGTTGCTTGTGGTGGCTGCGAACTTGTCTCTAGCCTCCGTGGCAGCCAGAGCAAAAAGGAATTCACAGTTGGGGACAAAACTCACATAAATAGGGTAATATACTGGTTTTTTAGAGAAGGCCAACTTGCCCTGCAGGCAGACAGGAGAGGGCTGTTCCCACAGCCTTCATCAGAGGGCAATGTGTACAGGCTTCTTGGCAGCATGCTGCCTGGAGGTGCAGGCTGGGATCTTAGCTGGTCTGTAAACCATGCCTCAGATGGGCTGGAAGCAGGACAGCTTCATAGGCAGAAGATTTCCACAAGGGGTTAAGGGCAATGAAATCTAGGTATGGGGCTTTTAAGTTTGGCTTGGTGCTTTTGTAAAAGTTAGACTTTCTAAAGGAAGAGATGTGCTCTGCCTGTCTGAGTATTTATAGTAAGAATTGGGTTCAAGCTGTGGGTTCAAGTTTGTAATTCCTGGCAAGAACACAGCAAGCACCATGGTCCTCTTCTGGAACTCTGAGGAGGAGACCTAAGGCATGTGTCTGAGTGAATGCAGTCAAGCCAGTTACAGATCCACACCAACACGGGAATAGATAATTGGGGCCTAAAAACTCTACCTCACAGAGCAAAGTCACCATTTTAACTTGTTAAGTTAAATACTCTTTTTACCAATTGCAAACACCTTTGTGTTCTAGTCCCAAACTCTTCTATGAGCCCAGAATCATAAGGCTTTCTCATAATCTGTTCAATGATAGCCTAAATAATAACCACTGGTTAACAGGCCAGATTTCAGATTATCACTGTACCTTTTTGGAGTCTCTTGGCTCAAGACCCTTTGAAGACTTCAATTTGCTGTGGTCGTGGTTTGGGCAAACTGTGTCCAGAATCCACCAGGCAGCCTTTCCCTTTTCCCCTTGGATCCTAGCTGTTGCACTAAAGTGCTCAGTTATTAACACCTATCAGGTTGAATGGGACACATGCCAAGTGACATAGAGCAGAAAGCCCAGTGGAGGGTGGGTTGACTCCAGGTGACGTCTGGTAATCTGTGTAATAGCTCAGCAAACCCAGATATTCCCACTGCCTCCTGCCTGTGTTCACAGCACATGAGTTCAGACTCCAGATCCATTTAAATTTCAAACCACTTGGGCTCATAATCCACAGGCATGGCTTCCAGAGAGCATGGCTCCCATGTCTAGTGCCTCTGCTTACCTACTCATGGACATGCTTGTTGTCTGACTCTTTCCAAGGGAGCCTCAGCTGGTCCCCAGGCCTCCATGCTGTCCTTCTGCTCTTCGGCATCCTGAGGGCACCTTGGCTGGCAGCACTCATTAGTAACCTGTGTTTCTCTGATCTTGACTCTACCAGAAACCCTTTACCCTGTTTCTTAGTCTTTGCACATTGAAGAAATTTGAGCTCTAAGGAGTCGGCTTGTGAAGGAGATTGGAAATTAGTGCCTAAGTCCCTGTTTACCAGGCTACCTTCTGTGGACAGCTGGAGCCCATGAAGCTGAGAAGACCCCAGAAATGTGTTCCTGCTGCTTGTTTTAAAGAGGATGGTGGAGCCTTTGCTGTTTCTTAGCTCCCAAGGCTTCCTTAAACTCTGAATACTGAGGCACTTTGTCACCTGGGAAAAGAGAGACGAGCAGTCAGCTGACCTGGTATTAGGAGCTTAGTCTTTGTTTTTTCCTCAGCCTCCTCCAGTATCTAGCTCAGCCAGTACTGTTAGAGTGACCATTTGTAACTCTGCTGGTTTCTTCTTTTTTTCTCTTCTCTTCCTTTACTCCATATTTTAAGTCAGCTTCACCCTTGCTACTAAGTTGCAAAGACAGCTTATAACTGCATAAGCAAAATGATTCCCTAACACATCCAATTTGTGAACAGCTATAATGAACAGGACTGTATTCCTCTTGAGAGTTAGAAGAAAGTGCTCTCACTAACTGTTCTTAATTTCATAAACTTAAAAGATTTTGAAATCATTCCTATGAATCGCTTCCCAGAAAATATGGCAGAAATACAGCCACCTGCTTGCCAGTCTCCTTAGGCCCACACTGAGACACAGTAGGCATCTCTGTCACACCACTGGGTCGGCACTACTGTACCACCCCGCTTAACCACCTTGGCACCTGCCACAGGTCTGCTGGACCACACTTAGCATTACTTCTTATGTTGGATTATAATTACCAACTTTCTTGTCTTACTTCCCTGCCTCACTGTGAGCTACTCAAAGGCTCAGGACCACTTACTCATCTTGTGTATATGCTCAATAAATACTTTTTTCTTTGGAACAGGTAGATAGATGGGAACCCATGGCCTTGCTCCCTGAAAGCCTAGACAGTTCCTCAAGCTCCATGTCTTAAGATTCAGGGCAATGGCACCCAGCTCAGGGTGAGGAGGGCCAGTCACCATATCTCTCCTGTCCTTACATCACACCCTGTAAGATCCTCGAATACTGTTTCCAAAGGTGGTCCATCAGCCAACACAACCTTTGAATTTGAGATTTGGTTTTCCAGAGGCTTCCTAGGATTGATTTTTGATAGCAGCCGTCAAAGTAGAATTTGGTCTGTATTTATCATGTCTAACTTTTTAGTCTTTTGCCAAACACGCACATGAGGAAACCCTGCTATTACTTGAAGAGGTTATTCAAGGACAGAACTCTGTGCTTTCTTTCCCAGTTTTGGTTGGCAACCTTACTTCCTTTGTCTTTGGCATTTGGCTATTTCATCAACTTTAAATATGTTCCTTCTTGCTGTTAGAGGATTTCTAATGGACACAGTTCATTTTCTTCCTTCGAAAAACTGTCAGATGTTGGGGTCCCATTATCTTTCACCAGGCTGACCCCAGGGGCTTGAGCGTTATTTCTTCATGGTGTGAAACTAGGTATCTGCCATGGAAATGAGATGCCATCCCGGGGTTTCCTGTTATTGCCTAACTCAGTTTTCCCTGAGTTAGCCTATGTGAATGTTTTTATGTGGAAACAATTAAATATCAATTATCCTGTTTTATAAAATGTCAAGTAATTATTGCTCTTTAGAAATGAGCTTAAAAATTAAGCCTTTGTTAAAATAAGTATTACTTCAGTACACTTGAATAATTTTTTCTTTGCTCCCAATAGAGTATCTTAAAAAAAAAAAAACCACACACACACTACTTTTTATTATGGAAATTTTCAAACAATGAAAAAGTAGAATATTATAATGAATTCTCATGTGCAGGTCATCCCATGTCAGCAGTTCCCTACAGGCCCCATCCTGTTTCCTGGACACCTCCCCTGACAAGATTAGTCCCTACAGCACCTGGACAGCAGGGCTGAGTGCATTATAAGCCCCATGGTTCTTGGAAAGTCTAAGTTACAAAGAGATGGATTTGTGCCAACATCTCTACTTTGAAAACATATTTCAGAGCATGATGATAAAGTCCGCTCTAACAAAGGTAAAGAAAGAATGGTTTTAATCCTACTAGAGAAAAAGCGTTCACGCCCTTCTTGGACTTCAAAGTTTCTTTCCCAGAACAACCTTTGGTAAATAGGTGAGGGAAAGTGATAGGAGTGGGTAATCCTTGGCTCTGGCACTTAAGAGAGGCATCTGGCAGGCTCGGGAGAAAGGGAACACTTCATCTCACCCTCAGTGGGGCACTTGTGTGATTGGTAGAGTTTTAGGGCACTGGACTTGTGTGCAATGCCAGATTTGGCATTGGAACAGGTTTTCAAGTTTCCATAACAGTAAGTCCCAAGAAGAAAACTCTTCCCCAGGAATAGTGTCCTAAAGGAGATGCTGACACATCAAACCCTGAGCTGTACGTGCTGGCTGGCAGCAGACCCATTTAACAAAGAGAAAGTTCCCCAAAAGGGTTTAGCCAACTGGAATAAACCTTTATGGCTGTAGAAGAAAGAATGAAACTCCTCTTTAATGTTTATTTTATTAATCGTATGTATTTAAAATCGCACACACACACACACACACACACACGACTTTAATTTAGAAACATTGCTCTGTTCTCATTTTCAGGAAATGGTTTTATTCCAGGTCTTTCATGTCTCTTTGACCCCAGAGCTTCTGATATCATCAGAGTCATGTGTCAGTCACTGGACAGTATTCTAGGGAATATCATATTTGCTTCCAGCTGAGTTGTTTGAGATATAGCACCTTTGTCACCAAAAACTTCATGCTGCTCAGCAGACATTTTAGGCAAAGCCACACATTATTTCATTTATCAATTGGACTGTTCTCTTAACAAATCCTGTGGATACACACATAAGCCTCACAGTCTGTCCATTTTATTGCTTTTTAAGGTAGCTTTGAAAAGGCTTGTTTACTGAATAACGTTCATTTTGTCTCCTTTTTTCAACCAAACCAGCATTGGTTGAAGTTGCTTCGCCCACGTAGTCCTCCCTAAACAGTGGTTTGTTCAGAATAAAGTGGCCTAGCAAGGACTCTGTGCTGATAAGGCAGTGTTGGCAGGGAGTGTGAGGAAACCCCACCCCTTGTGCACACTTATAGTTGCCCAGAGGGCGGTTGCTTGACTTGTGTGACCCTCGCACTTCGAGGCTGCCTTGGCTGGGACCTGTCAGTGAGCCACCTAAAGGCTGGTCCTTCTGCATCTGTCTCTGCAGATCAGAGCCCACCCCCAGTTTGGTGACCTCTGTCAGAGGACCTCTGCAGCATCCTGCTGCCCCAGCTGGACGCTGGGGAACTACATTGCCATTCTGAATAACAGGTCGTCCTGTCAGAAAATTGTGGAGAGGGATGTTTCTCACACCCTGAAGCTGCTCCGGGCCTGTGCCAGACACTACCAGAACGGCAGTCTGCAGCCAGACTGCTGGGACACGGTGGCCCGACGGAAGGACCAGCTCAAGTGCACCAGCGTGCCGCGCAAGTGCACCAAGTACAACGCCGTGTACCAGATCCTTCATTACCTGGTGGACAAGGACTTCATGAGCCCACGGGCAGCCAGGTCGGTGCCAGCTCTGCGGTACAGCATGCTCTTCTCACCCACTGAGAAAGGTGAGAGCATGGTCAGCATTTACATGGACAATTTCGAAAACTGGAACTCCTCTGATGGTGTGACCACCATCACCGGGATTGAATTTGGTATCAAGCACAGTCTGTTTCAGGATTACCTTCTGATGGACACTGTGTATCCCGCCATCGCCATGGCTGTCGTCCTTCTGGTCATGTGTGTCTACACCAAGTCCATGTTCATCACTCTGATGACAGCGTTTGCAATCGTCAGTTCCTTGATCGTGTCCTATTTTCTCTACCGTGTAGTATTTAACTTCGAATTTTTTCCTTTTATGAACCTCACTGCACTCATTATTTTGGTTGGAATTGGGGCAGATGATGCATTCGTCCTGTGCGATGTTTGGAACTACACCAAGTTTGACCAGCCGCATGGTGAAACCTCGGAGGCAGTGCGCACCTCCTTGCAGCACGCGGCCCTGTCCATGTTCGTCACCAGCTTCACCACGGCAGCTGCCTTTTATGCAAACTATGTCAGTGACATCACAGCCATCAGGTGCTTTGGGGTCTATGCGGGCACAGCTATCTTGGTGAACTATGTTTTGATGGTCACGTGGCTTCCAGCGGTGGTGGTCCTGCACGAGAGATATCTGCTCAATATATTCAGTTGCTTCAGAAAGCCCCAGCAGCAGGTGTATGGCCCCAAAAGCTGCTGGACCGTGGCCTGCCAGAAGTGCCACCAAGTGCTTTGTGCCATCTCAGAAGCATCTCGAGTCTTCTTTGAGAAAGTGCTGCCATGTGTTGTCATCAAGTTTCGCTACCTTTGGCTGCTCTGGTTCCTTGCCCTGACCGCAGGCGGGGCCTACATCGTGTGTGTGAATCCAAAGATGAAGCTGCCCTCCTTGGAGCTGTCTGAGTTCCAGGTGTTCAGGGCATCTCACCCCTTTGAACGGTACGATGCTGAGTACAAAAAGCTCTTCATGTTTGAACGCGCTCACCATGGGGAGGAGCTGCACATGCCCATCACGGTGGTCTGGGGCATATCCCCGCAGGACAATGGCAATCCCCTGAACCCCAAGAGTAAGGGGCGGCTGACCTTAGATAGCAGCTTTAACATTGCTAGCCCAGCTTCCCAGGTCTGGATTTTGCACTTCTGCCAGAAATTGAGAAATCAAACCTTCTTCTACCAGACTGATGACCAGGACTTCACCAGCTGCTTCATTGAGACCTTCAAGCAGTGGATGGAGAACCAGGACTGCGATGAGCCTGCCCTGTACCCATGCTGCAGCCACTGGAGCTTCCCCTACAAGCAGGAGGTTTTTGAGCTGTGCATTAAGAGAGCCATCATGGAGCTGGAAAGGAGTACAGGCTACCATTTGGACAGCAGAACCCCAGGGCCAAGGTTTGATGGCAACGATACCATCAGGGCAGTAGTGCTAGAGTTCCAAAGCACCTACCTCTTCACACTGGCTTACGAAAAGATGCACCAGTTTTATAAAGAAGTGGACGCATGGATTTCCAGTGAGCTGCGCTCTGCCCCCAATGGCCTTGGCAATGGCTGGTTTGTCAGCAGCCTGGAGTTCTATGACCTGCAGGACAGCCTCTCAGATGGCACCCTCATTGCCATGGGGCTGTCTGTGGCTGTTGCATTTAGTGTAATGCTGCTCACAACATGGAACATTGCCATAAGCCTCTATGCTATCATGTCAATAGCTGGCACCATATTTGTCACTGTTGCTTCTCTCGTCCTGCTGGGCTGGGAGCTAAATGTTTTGGAGTCTGTCACCATCTCAGTGGCAGTCGGTTTATCCGTAGACTTCGCCGTCCATTATGGGGTCGCCTACCGCTTGGCCCCAGACGCTGACCGCGAGGGGAAGGTGATCTTCTCTCTGAGCCGTATGGGCTCCGCCATTTCCATGGCTGCTCTGACCACCTTTGTGGCTGGGGCCATGATGATGCCATCCACGGTGCTGGCCTACACCCAGCTGGGCACCTTCCTGATGCTCACCATGTGTGTCAGCTGGGCTTTTGCCACTTTCTTCTTCCAGTGCCTGTGCCGGTGCCTTGGGCCGCAGGGCACCTGTGGTCAGATCCCCTTACCTGAGAGGCTCCAGTGCAGCACCTTCTCACCTGCCTCATCTCGACATCCTGGAGACAAGGGGCAGAGCAAAGCCTGTGCTGTGAGGGCCTTTCATTTAGATCCCACAGGCCAAAAGTCTGAAATACAGCCTGAGTTTTACCAACTGGAGCCACTGGCATCCCACAGCTGTGCTGCCTCTGAGAACACAAACACGTATGAAGAGACCCGTATGCGCTCTGAGCTTAACAGCCCGGTGAGGCGTTCAGGGTTGCCTCAACTCATGGCTTACAAGGGCCCCACTGACAAGGCTGGCTCCACCTCACTACAGCCCCCTGCTGGGCAGCATGCCAGGTGTCACTCCCCTGTGAATCCGAGACTAAGCTGCCCAAATGCCTGCAGACATTTGACGTGCGGTCCACACTCCTGCCAGCAGCCGGGGGATAGCATGTGCCATCAGTGCACTCCTACTGTGGGCAGCTTCCTGCCTGTCCCAGACAGCATGGCACCCCTGAGAGCCTCATACCAGGTCCCTGAGGCCGTCGTGCCTCCCATCCCACATATGCACCCCTGCCTCTGCCTACAGGCCAGAGCGAGACTGCCCGGGAGGGAGAATCCCCCACCTCGGGGTTTCTTCCTCCAGCCAGTGCAACACTCTCAGGTCCAACAAAACACTGGTAAGCCCAGTATCCACAATCTTCAGAGCACAGAGGAGCATCTTCCGAAGGTGTCAGAGTTGTCATTTGTCAGCAGAAGTGCTGGATCTTTACCAAAAGCATGCTGTGATCCTGAGAATAACCAAAGGGCACTCTGTAAAAATAGAGATGCAGGGACTTTGGAGGTCTGTGGCAGGGCCAAGAGTAAGGATGGCAGATTCGTGAGTCAGCACAGTAAGGCGGGGAGGGAAGCTGAGCCTGGCCTGGCACAGACCGACGGGGTGGTGAACTCAGAACATTTAAGTCAGGGTGAACCAAGGTTTACATTTAACCATTTACTAGGGGAGGCTGGGTGCAGGTCCTGCCCAGACAACCCGCAAAGTTGCTGCAGAATCGTGAGAGGGAAGTGCAATTCTGTGGACTGCCAAACGCCAGACACCGATGCCAGCGTGCCTGCAGTGGTAACACACTCAGAACTTTCTGGTGGCAGTTTGTTAATAAAAACACTTTAATAAATACAGTATTAAATTAAGAACCAGTGCCTCCATCGTTCCTTCGAAGTAGAGGTGGAATCCATCATTTAGAAAGGGACTCCAAGACAGGAACCGGCATGTTTCACTTGTTTAACAATCATGGAATATCTATGTTCTATGTGAACAATCAGCAAACTCACTTATCAGTGAGTGTTAGCCGGTTATTGGGCTTTATATTTTCAGAAGGTACAGCTGTTTTTATGTTTATACTTGGCTTGGAAAATAATTGTCTCTCTTTCCCCTCACACAGCAGTAAGATTTAGAGTTTGAATTACCAGAGGTTGTGGTTCCCCCTGGCAGTAGCATCTCCTGATTTCCTTATTCTGGTGGATGTGGTGTCAATAACTGAGACTTTCAATTGCTCAACATAAACTAATTTGAAAAGAGCCACTTCAGATGGAAGCCAGGAACTAAACAGCATTAAAATGTGTATTTTTGGTGAGGCCTCATTTAAAATATAAATTGCCATGCATGTTAATAGTCCATCCCATTGTCTGCATGAGGAGTTGAAGCCAATGATACACTCATGCAAATTGGTGTCCTTTTCCACATTAGCCCCAGTGTATAGTTGTTCGGTCATTACAACTATTCACCTGGAGTCACAGGCATTCTCTTCCATCAGGCAACCATTGTGTTAGTGCCACAGAAGGAAAAGCAGAAGTGGAGAGACGTGACAGCCCTTTTTAGAGTCGGTTGCATGTTGTCCAAGGTAGACCAGGATCAGATGAGTCTTAACTCCCAGAGTATCAGAGGAAGGGAACTGGTTCTGTGAAGTTTTGCTTCTGTGTTTGCCCCGATGGGGACATGTCCAGACAGCTGCCTTCTCCCGTGTTAACCAGTGTCTCCAGATGTGAACGGGAATTTTATTGTGCAGCTAACACCTGGAAACGCTGAGTCTCAGGGAGAAACTTAAGTGATACCTGTATCTCTTGTCGGATCAGTCTGCAGTGACTGAGCTGTCCACATAGGAGTCGTCCGGCCGAGCCCCCAGACCCCTGCCAAGGTCCCTCTGCACTCTGCCTCGCTATGGAACTCTGCCTGCCATTTGGTCCTCTGAAAGAACACTTCTAAATGCAGTGTTCTTTCCAAAAGTTGTATTAGTTATTTTGAAGAATAGTTTTCCAAATTAGATCTGCATATTATTTTTCATATTAGGGCCTGAAAAAAACCATCAAGGGTCGGAAGAGAGCTTATGGATCCCTAGTTCCAGCCCACCTGCCCCAATCCACATTTTTGTTAGGTAGCCTTGTAGCTTTTGCTTTGTTACCTCCGGGACAAGGTGCTCACTACAGGACAACCTGGGTGGAGCTCAGCCCTGTTGTCCTGCCATTTTCCTGCTGCAAGGGATCCCTAAAGATGCGTGGACACAGCTGTCACGTCCTCCCACTAACATGCCCAGTTCACTCGGCTGTCCTTCCCACCACCAGATTTTAAGCTTAAAACACTGGCTGAACTATTAGGTTCCCCTCTGGAAAGGCCAGGTCAGCAGACCCTGCACAGTGGACAGCCAGGCCTTCCGCTGGTGCACATAGGGAAAGGCAACATGGCTCCTGCAGCTTAGAGGGTGTAGGGGACGGCCTTTGTCTTCTTACATGTCTGAAGGCAGAATGGGAAAGCACAAGCTTGAGAACAACCGGTGCAGTCCTTGGAAGTTATCTGCCCACAAAAACATATCTTATCCTTGAAGACGAGCCAAGACGCCTCACTCTGAAAATAGGGAGACCTTGAGGATGTGTGAAAACACCGCCCCCACCCCCACCCCCTGCTTACCAGGCAGCTTCTAAGAAAATCAACAAGGTGCTCTGGCCTGAGATGGGAAAGATGAGTGTAGCACTTGGCTGAGGTCCGAGAAAGGCAGTATAAAAATAAAGGTGCTGCGCCACATCGTGGCTGCAGCCATTGTCTGTCTGTCTGTGTTGTCTGTGTTTTTTGTTCTCTCATGTCACCCAAAGAAAATGTGCTACATCTGGTGCCCAACATGGGGCTCGAGTGGACGACCCCACTGTGGGGCTACTACAGAGGGACCCCACCCCTCGGGTGTCTCACCCATGCAGCTGCCAGGTGGGTTTTACTCTGCAGTTTGGGATGGTGTGTGTCCTCCCACTGCACTTGCTTCTGTTGGACCCCTGAGGAGGGGGTTTGGGGAGGAAGAACACTTGAAAATAGGACTCACAGCAGGACCAGCGCAGGATTCTTTGTTTTTCTTATGAAATGTGTAACCATAAAGTTGGCTGGTGTAATTTCAGTGGTCCAAAGGCACTTTTTCTTCTAGGCACAGACACAGATTGAATTTTAGGACGAAAGGAGACCAAACGTCCTTATAGACATCTCACCAGAGAGGCTCCCCTGTGAGCTGAGTGTCATCTCATTTAGAAATAAAACCTGGGGTGAAAGGAATTTAGGAGAGGAGATGACTTTGTCTTTTCCCAGGGGCTCCCGCCCTGCCTCCAAGCCCCCAGGAGAGGCCCAATGCCTGCCTAGTTAGCCAGAACCTTGAATTTGCCTGGAAGGCCTTTTCACACAGACTTCTACAGACTTCAGACTTTGAATTGACTATGTTTTCAATGCAGGAATTTTTAAAAGAATTTGTTAGCTGGGACTAGAAAGCTTTTTGTTTCTGTTTTTGTTTAATTCCTCTCTCCTGGGCAGCAAAACGTCACTATTTCTAGCTGTTTCACAAAGAAATTTCACCTATTGTCTTCTAGAGAACTACAAAGCAGATGAGAGGCTGAGAGGACCCTTTCCCATGAAATATCCTTGGCTTGGTGGGCGTTTACTTATGGAGAGGATGTGCATAGATCTCCATTGCTGCAGCAGAACATACCTTTTAGGCTTGAGTCCATGTTACCAAATTTGTTCCTGGCTTCTTCCCTTTAGAGTCACTTTTTAAATCCCTACTTGATTGGAAAGTGGAACATGCCAAGAGCACAAAGCTTTTCACAGAGAAGAGCCGTATGTGTAAAATAAGCTGCACAGCTTCATCTGTGTGTATTCGTTTCTTATGTGTAATCGCTCTAAAATGCACATCCTCCTAAAACAATATTATTTAAAGTTGTGCTGTTATTATATTAAATTTCTTGGAAATAATCTATGCCCTGACCTTCATCAATCTAAACTTCACAACTTTTGCAATGGGTGATTTGGAGAGTAGTTTTACATACAAATGAGTCTTACAGAAGGTTCAGAAATGTTCCTAATTCACATGGAAACCATCTTTCCACTGGCAGGACAGTTTCTGAATGAAATACGAGGAAACAATGGCTTAGAAAACAGCTGTGCCTTTTCTCTTTAATAAGGAGAGTCATTTTAGAAGAAAAAAATTTAGCCTAAGTTAAAAAATAACCAAAGACTCAACTGGATTTTTTTCATAAGACTCAGAGCCATGGAAGTAGAAATTTGTTGAAATCATGGGGGGATTTTTTTTTTTTAAATGCAGAATGAACTGTCATGTGCAAATACCCATGAGACCATAGTGGACATTTCCAAAATGTATGTTGGCATTTGGGTTGTTCATTTCCAGTTGTTATGTGAATC